GAGGGGCAGGCCTGGGGCTGGGAGAACGCCATTGCTTTATCTGAGAGACCTGACCTCCACGAAGGGTCCCGGAGTGAGCAGCACTGGGGAGCCCGGAGTTTGCTGCAACCATGGGCCTCTGTGTGTGGGAAGTTTCTACCTGAGGTTATCCCAGGGAAAGTATTTCCTCTCCCCATCCACTCAAGCCCCCGAGAGCACGCTGGGTTTTGTCAGTTCCCTGGAGCAGCAGTCTGCAATGTACTTACTCTATGTTCTGTTTTCAGCAGGAGGCAACAGAGGAACGGTTCTGCATTTTTGTCAAATTCCTGGTAGGACACCATCTATAATGTCGAGTGTTCCTTATGAAAAGACTTCTATAATAAATCCCTCCCAAAAGTTTGTTCTTCTGATGATCTAATGTGCTTAGTGTAAGCTAAATTCCCTTTCCAAGACAGCCACAGCCCTTAATGAGGTTCCTGGTAGAGGGGTTCTCCACCCGACTCATGACAGAGCTTCTTAATCTTTTCCTTAGTATGATGGTCCCAATCGTCTTCATGTGTGGATACCTTTCATTACAGAATGTTCAAAAAATTTTCTTTGCTAATAGATGGGTTGTGTGGTAGGTTGACTATTGTCTTCCAAATAAACCCACATCCTAATGCCCAAACCTGTGAATGTCATCTTGTATGGTCAGAGACTTTGCAGGTGTGATTAAGGATCTTTTTTTAAAATTTTTTTTATTTCAGCATATTACGAGGGTACAAATGTTTAGGTTACATATATTGCCTTTGCCCCACCCGAGTCAACGCTTCAAACGTGTCCATCCCCCAGATGGTGCACACCACACCCATTAGGTGTGAATATACCCATCCCCTCCTCCCCCTCCCACCTGCCCAACACCCAATGAATGTTATTACTATATGTGCACTTAAGTGATGATTAGGTAATACCAATATGATGGTGAGTACATGTGGTGCTTGTTTTTCCATTCTTGGGATACTTCACTTAGTAGAATGAGTTCCAGCTCTATCCAGGAAAATACAAGAGGTGCTAGATCACCATTGTTTCTTATAGCTGAATAGTACTCCATGGTATACATATACCACATTTTATTAATCCACTCATGTATTGATGGGCACTTGGGTTGTTTCCACATCTTTGCAATTGTGAATTGTGCTGCTATAAACATTCGAGTGCAGATGTCTTTTTTATAGAATGACTTTTGTTCTTTTGGGTAGATGTCCAGTAATGGGATTGCTGGATCAAATAGTAGTTGTACTTGTAGCTCTTTGAGTACAACCTTCCACAGAGGTTGTACTAGTTTTCAGTCCTATGATTAAGGATCTTGAGATGGGGAAATTATCCCAGACTACCTGGGTGGGCCCAGAGTAGTGACAAGGGTCCTCATATGATGGAGGAAGAAGAAGTCAGGGTCAGAGGAAAAGAGCTGCGAGCCAAGGAATGCAGTTGGCAGGCAACCAGACGCTGGAAAAAACAAAGAAAAGGATTTCCCACTCAGAGTCTCAGAGGAGCCAGTCTTGCAGATACATTGACTTCAGCTCAGTGAAATTCATCCTCAGACTCTAACTACAAGAATTGTAAAGGGATGAATTTGGATTTTAAGCCAATATGTTTGTGGTCATTTGTTATGCCAGCGGTAGAAAACTAATATAGGTTATAAAAAATGAACAGAGAATGATGTTACCAAATGCTAAATTCCTACAAATAATAAACTTGGCAGCTTGATTCTTTCACCTACAGATAAACTGAATTCAAATTTCAATTCCACTGTTTACTAGCTGGGAATGTCTGTCTGTGAGCACATCACATCTGCAGCAGCCATTGTCCTGGGGAGCCCTCAGTGCCAGCAGCTGGGGGCCAGGGACAGGAGGAGCCCATGTGGGGAGCCATCGCTGTGTGCTGGGCTCTCTGGGTTTCCAGCCCTCACGTGTGCACAGTCCAGGCCAAGGCTTCCGCCCCAGGGTGCTGCACGGCCGGCCCGCGCGTCTTGGTAGACGAGGTGTCTGGAGGCCTCACCTGCTCCTGCTCAGGGGTGGCTCTGGACTTAACGTTCGTTGAGGGCTTGTTGTTTAATATTACCAGCCACTGTTCTAAGCACTTTATGTGTATTAACTCAATTGATCCTCGAAAAAGTCCTGTAATGTTAATATTAAATAATTTTTATCATTTTTGAAATTCAAGTCCCTTCTCAGGAGAAAGAAAAGAAATTCACTCTGACCCACTGATAAACAGAGTACTGCGAGGAGCTATGTGACTCTGGACATGTGACAACTGAAAACAGTGTGCAAATGCTTGGAAGCTCCATGTCCAAAATACATGCACGTCCCTTGCTGTGTAGTGTTTCCACAAAAGAATAAAAGCAGTCATCCTTCACAGCTCCAAAGGAGGTAAGAGGGCTGGGATTTAGATGTCACCACAGAGCTGTAATTTCTGTTCTGGAAAAGCCAGCGAAAGGCATCTCAGCACACCCCAGCCAGGTGTGTTCACGGTGATGGCAGAGGCCTGGCTAGAAGAATGTTGCCCTTTCATCTGGCTCAGAGGCCAAGTGAACTATATTTATTTGGACTTCCCTGGCCTATTCAAGCAAGCAGAAATCCCCCACTTTTAGGCAAAGGGCCAAAAAAATTCATAAGTTTCAGGGTATTGCTTGAGACCGCTTTTCTTAGATGGCCCAGGGCAACAAAACTCTCTCAGCTGGTCTCTGCTCCTGGATCTCTGCTCCTCCCATGCACTTAAGATGCATTAGTCAGGGAAGGCTGCAGGTATAACCCAAACCCTTCCTATTTCAGTGGGTTAACGCAACACCAGTTTCTTTGTTGTCCACACCGTGGTCCACACTGGGCACTCCCGGTTGGGACAACTATTTTGGGTGGATCCCTCCGAGGAGCAACTTAGGGGCCAGTCTTCTTGAGTACTGAGATTCAGCCCTCCTCTGGGACACAAGGCCCACCCCCCGCGGCCGCCAGATGCAGACACAGCACAGCAGGCCATGCCCGAAAAGGCTCCCAGGACTGGCCGGGCCGGGCGCTCCCTCTGACGCACACAGAACTGCAAGCAGAGCCGAGGGGTGCGGTCTGGCTGTGTGCCCATGAGTGTGGAGCCTCCAGGGCTCCATTTGAGCACAGCGCAGGTCACCTAGCTGTGAATGGGCACCGTAAGGACGCTGTGCACATCTGAGCCCTGTGAAGGCTCTTCCTCTCCTGGACCGACCTCTTCGCAGCACCGTATGAGCGGGCTGCGGCTGCCCCGGCTGCACGCCCCCTCATGTGAGACGTGGCCCTCTGTGCCCCCAGTGCACGCGGTCACCTTTAACCTTGGCGTTTAAACTGCCTTCGCAGGCCACCTCTGCCCGTGCCCTTCATCCTGGTGTCCACCCGTCCTTGGAAGCAGAGGTATCCGGAATATGTGATGAGAATTCCGCACACACGGCTCTGAAGTGGGGGAGAGTCCGTTATTACGGGGACTTTACAAACTGGGGAAAGGCCCCTCCAGGGCTGTGAATCGTCCATTCACAACCATTTTCTTTGCAATGGGCAGTTGAGGACCAGACATAGAGATTCAGAACATCCAGGAAGAGGCATGTTCCAGGATGTGTGGTTAAGGATACAGGCTGAGTGACAAAGAATGACCGAGATTCCTAGAGATGCCATCTCAGACTTCTTCTGAAATGTGCTACTTAGGGCGAAGAAACAAGCCATTAGAAGAATGAGTGGGAATTTCTAAAACCTAAAGTACAAAGAAGTAATCACACACATACTTGTGAAGTATCAGCTCTTTAATTCTGTGATGGGGGTTGGGGGCGTTGGGGAAAGGATCCATCCAAGGACTTCAGTTTTTCCTGCGTTTGTGGGACTGTGGGTGGGAAGCGCCTGAGTGATCAAAGCAAGACCTTCAGCAGGAACAGGCCAGTCAGAGTGGACGAGAGGATGGGTGTCAGCAGGCGGCTTCCACTGATGGGGTCCACACAGTAGGTGTTGATTTTCAGGCTCCCCAGCACTATCTCACCCTTCAAGTTGCAGGCTGTTTCCGTCGCACAGCCCATACCGAACCGTACCAACATATTGCCGCCTGTAAAGAGAGAGACCCAGGGTTAGTCTCCTTACATCTCGTCTCCCTCCTCACTCACAGCCTCAGGCGAGCCTGTCTGCCTCCTCTGGGAAGAAGAGGCGCTCGGAGTGCCGCAGAATCCCCGACTTCTGCCTTCTGCGCGAGGGGCGTCAGCTGTGGCTCTGACTCCATCCAGGGACCATGCTTCACTTCCCTCCGGCCCCACATCTCCCCAGCTTAGGAGGGACCCCAAAGGGCCCCTGCTGTATTACATGCATGGCTGAGACTGGGGCCTCTGGGTTCCGACAAGGGAGGGAGGGTTGGCGTAGAAAAGGGGGCTGGTAGAGGTCAGACCTCATGCATTTGGCTAGAACACTTCTGTAGTCCCTGTCCCCCTCCTCACCTTTGCTTCCTTGGAGAAACCAGAGGGAAACATTGCAGATCTCCCTCAAGATCAGACCCTTCTCCCCAGGGCGCAGAGTTTCTTGGGAGATTAGTGCTGCGAAACCTCACTGCATGTCTGTGCTATCCCCATGGCTGGAGTAGAGAGACTGCCCCACTACTGGCAGCCTCAACCCTGCTCTGTGTCCTACATGACATCCATTTTTCTTATTCATCTCAGTGCAGCTAGACACAGGGCCCTTCACCTGCTAGTCTCAGATCCTTCTTCAAAATCTTCTAAAAAAAAAATAGCATAACTTACCTTCATTCCCATTAAATTCTCTCTCCCATCATTTAATCAGCTCCTAAAACACCACTAACACCTTTTGCAACTTGATCATAAAACAACTGACAGTGCCCCATCCAGCTGTATGATCCAGAAAGAAAAATACTGTGGCTGTTTTTCCAGCTACTATCTGAATGGTACATGAGCCCTTTACCACAAATATAGATTTTTCTCCTACTTGGAAAATCACAAATCCTTCTACAGATTTCAGAACACCATGCAAAAATTAGGTGCTTAATCATGGGGTTTTGATGATAGCGATGATGACAACTGAGGTGTTGTCACCTCCTTCATTGCCGATGAGCTGAGGCACCACTCCAGGAGATCATGGTGACTGACTCGCCCTCCAAGCCTCTGTCCCCGCTGTGAGAAGCACCTGTGTTTCTTCTCCTCTCCCTGCTCTCCTGCCAGACGGCCTCGTCCCAACCTTAGAGGGGTGAGCCAGCGCTGGTCCTGTGCCACGCCTGCCACACATGGCGGTCAGCCCCTAAGACAAGCCCAGTGTTTTCCACCTCCTGGCATTTGTGCCCCCACATACGCCCCTCCACTGTAGTACCAGGCTTGGTCTCAGTGATCAGCAGGGTACAAGCAGAGGCAATGATGTGTCACTTCTAAGGTGATATGATTAAAAACTGTAGCTCGCTCTCTCTTTCTCTGTCTCATCGCTCACTCCGGGGGAGGACAGCTGATACATCATGAGGACACCCAGGCAGCCTACGGAAAGGCCCAAATGGAGAAGAATTGAGGCCTGTCAACAGCCACCCGGGTGAGCTTGGAAGTGGATCCTCCATCTGAATGGCCGCAGTTCCTGCTTCCTCCGCTGCAGCCTCCTCAAGGGACACCCCGAGCCGGAACCATCCGGCTACACCACTTCCAGATGCCTGACCTACAGACACTATAAAACGATAAATATTTACTCTTTTCTGCTGCTAGGTTTTGGGGTAAGTAGTTACACAGCAAAGGACAGCTAAGATGCTGTACGCTTAATAAAATGCAACCAGAATACCTGGGGAAGTGTCCACACCTGTGCCGATGACCTCCACACACTTGGTCTCTGCCCCTGTGCAGGTGAGGGGAGCCGTGGTGCAGGCAATGTCCGTTTCACTGTAGCAAGCATGACACGTAATGCCATTGGAGTCTGAGGATTTCTGAGGCGCTGAAGGAAAAGAGAAAGATTTCATCTTAAGGAATATACAGAAAAAGTAGCTGACGTCATTACTATCCCCAAAGGTCATGGTTTCCAGGGTGCCTCCACCAAAACAAAAACATTAGTTACAACGAGGACAGCCGGGCGAAGGGAGAAAGAGGCGGGAGAATGCGATCGGTCGGCTCTTGCAGGAATTGGGTGCTATCTTCCCCTCTCAGGGATCTGCCCTTTCTGCCCTGGCTGGATAGAAGCACTTAGGCAAGGGGAGAGCAGAGAATCTGTGGTCTAAAAAGATGCAGTTAAGAAGACAGAATAATGGCCAGCAAACATATAAAAAAATGCTCAACATCTCTAATCATTAGAGAAATGCAAATCAAAACCACAATGAGGTATCACCTAACCCCGGTGAGATTGGCCTCTATCAAAAAAACACAAAACAACAAATGTTGGTGAGGATGCGGAGAGACAAGAACACTTCTACACTGCTGGTGGGACTGCAAATTAGTGCAACCTCTGTGGAAAAGAATTTGGAGATACCTCAGAGAGCTAAAAATAGAAATACCATTCAATCCAGCAATAGCACTATTAGGCATCTACCCAAAAGAGCACAAAACATTCTACGATAAGGACATCTGCACCCGAATGTTTATGGCAGCACAATTCACTATTGCAAGAATGTGGAAACAACCCAAGTGCCTGTCAATCCATGAGTGGATTATCAAAATTTGGTATATGTTTACAATGGAATATTACTCAATCACAAGAAACAACAGTGATCTAGCACCTCTTACACTTTCCTGGATTAAACTTAAGCCCATTATCCAAAGTGGGGCACCACAAGAGCAGAAGAACGGGATCCATTTGTACTCACCATCAAATTGGTATTAACTAATCAACACATAAATGCACATATCAGAACAGCATCTATTGGATGCTGGGGAAGGGGGAGGGCGGCGGGAGGAGGGGGGAGGAGGGAGGAGGGGACGGGTATTTGTATACACAAGGAGTGCAATGCACACTACCCGAAGGATGGACATATTTGAAACACGGACGTGGGGGCAGGGAACCAAGGGCAACACACGTAACCTAAACATCTGTACCCCATAATATGCTGAAATTAAAAAAAAAAAAAAAAGATGCAGTTAAAGGAATAAGGAATTAAATGGGTGAGGAGAGACCAGTCTCTCAGCTGGAACAGGAGAGCAAATCATTCAGGTCTACAGACGGCAGGCAAGACCACCCCCTGCCACCCCCCTCACCCCCCACCCCCGCCACTCAGTCTCCCATGCAGGAGGGGCCTGCGACCACCCTGACTGTTCACAAGGAAGCCTCAGGAGAAGGAGGAGCCGCTGGCAAGCAAGAGCAGCAGGTGTCTCAGAAGCCGGGAGGCGGGCTGCAGAGGGGCTCAGAGGGCAGAAAGGAAACCGCACGGCTGGGGCGGAGCGCACTCGCCTTGGGCCTCGCCCTGGTTACACTGCGGGCCTTCGCAGCACTGGCGGCCGAACGCGAACGTCATCTCCTTCCCCAGAGTGGCGGAGAAGGACAGCGGAACACACGTGCTTGGAGAACAGCCTTTCAGCTCCAGCAGTGACGAGGGCTGCCCTGCACAGAACCAAAGCCGGGAGAGTGTGTTCCCTTCAAGCCAGAGAGTGACGTCAGCGGGCAGCGGTGTCAGCGGGTTAGCGTCGCGCTCCCTCTGTCCTTAGTCTCTCCGCTGCTCCGGGAGTCCCGTGGCGTTCACCCCTTTTGCAGAGTAAACCAGCGGAGGAACAATTGGCTAGAATGGCCTGGAAAGGGAGTGTCATGCCTCAACAGTCCCCAGGCCTCCCCCTGGAGGGTCTGCGCTCGGCTGGGGCCCAGCCCTGCCACCTCCTGCCACCCCGCTCTCGGCCCCTCCTGGTAGGACTCTAAGGAAGGAAACAAGGATAAAATAGAAGATGTGTAAGGGATCGAGGAGCTATGTCAGGTTTCTGAACAAAGCAACGCCCTTGCTCTAAGCACCTTCTCTGTCTGCCCCAAGTGACCAGCACCTGGGCAGGGCCGCGGGGCCTACCTGACGTGTTGTATTCTTGCTTGTTGCTAAAGCAGCCGTGAGAGGCTTCACAAGTTGTCTGCTTGTCGGTCCCACATTCATCAAGAAAGCACTGCGTACACACATAACTCTCTACACAAAGGAAATAAACACTGTTCAGAAAATAATTCAAGAATGAAAACTGTCAAAAGTCATAGCTGATGTTTCAACAGCCAAACACTCCTGGGCAGCAAGGCGCAGTGAAGCCTGCCCTCTGGAGACCCACATGGCCCACGGTGCTTCCCGAAGGGGCTTCGCTGCTCGCTGCCACTCTGGGTCTTTGGGAGGGAGGGGCCGTTCGTTCTTACCCACAGTGCTGAGAGCGCAGGCAGCGAGCACACAGAGGGCGAGGAGAGACTTTCGGCCAGAGGGCTGCAGCATAGTGGCTGCCTTGTCACCCTGCAGTGAGAGCACAGGATCGGGGATAAGGGGCCCAGCCCCCCAATCTGGCAGTCCAGACACCAGTGTTGTCCATTCATTCATTCATTGGGCAAGTGAGAATTTGTCAAGCACTTTCTTTGTGCCAAATGTGGCTCTTTTGGGGGATGCAAAAATGAAAAAGATGCATCTTTGTCATCAAAGCATTCAGGGAGAAAGAGCCTTCCCTCCTTAGGAAGGATTTGATGGGGGCCTTCCTTCTTGCAGGTGTGGAAGGTGCTGGGGCTCCCTCCAAAGCTCAAAGGGGATGGTCTAGCCAAAGAGTAGAACTCGCTCCTCCGGGCGGTGGGCAGAGGCCCTCCCTGTGCTGGAACAGTCTGCTGTACGCCAGGGAAAGCAGCCCCTTAGCCCAGGACAATCGTTTCTCAAAGCCACCTTCCCCCAAAGAACCAGTCACCACCCCACACTGGAAATGCTCACCTTCAAGTATTTCCAGTCTTCGCTGAAGGGACCACTCCGAGATGGCGAGGAGGACAAGTGCTCTCACCCAGAGAGGGAAGGAGACCTGGCAGTGAGCAAAACCCTGAAGATGGGCTCCCTCCCGGCCCCTTCCTTTCACATGCTTTTATAGGACTGGAACCCAAATGGTCTAGTAATTAAAGCTAGATAAGTATAATCTTGGTGCCAAGCCAAGTGCAATATATTACATTCGTCTTCTAGAAAGAGAATGTGAATACAGCCATTCGTGACCCTCTGACCTCCTACAGAAAACTCTCTGGGGAAGTAGACCATTGTGAGTTTAGCTAGTAAGTTTCGAAAGAAACAGTTAAGAAGGAAAGTTTGCAATTCAGAACCTCCAGTAGTAGTTCCTTCAGTAGCTGTTTTAATGCTGAGTCTCCCGTGGGCATTCGTCAAGCACCCGCCTCCTTCCGGGGCACACAAAGTTCAAGTGCAGTTGTCAACTGCACTAGATATTGCCATGTAAGACTCCTGGCAATAAATCCCCGCTAGAATCTAGTGCTGCGGGCAGCGGTGGAGGGCGCAATTCCTGGACTGCCTCTCTTTCAAAGAAACAGCATATGCTTCATTTTGCAAATGACATGAAGTAGGAACGCTTTTCCCCTTGGTCAGCAGAAAGTTCAGAGTTGTATTTCATGCTAAACCACAATTTCTCTAACTGCTTCCTTCTGTTCTTCGTGTTTTCGAAAACTGCTTGTCACCATTCAAGGGCAATGGAGATACTAGTGACGAGCCCACTTATGAAGACTACGGGTGGGGGAGTGGCGGGGTGTGGGGGCCTTCGCAACACCTCTGGGCCTCTGTCTGTGGTCCGTAGCGGACAGTCCAAAGGCCCACTCCTGGGGCCCTGTAGGGATTGGAGAGACATCCTGTGATCTCTGGCCCACAGCAGACACCTTCGTCCAGCTCTTCCTCGGTGCTAATTGCCAGCTGCATCCCTTCCTTTCTCCTCCTGGCCCCAGAACCAGGCCTCCGGACCCACTTGCATCTCTCCAGAAGAGGGACTGGAGTCTCCCCGCACCCCATCTTTCTTCTCCCTCTCCCTGTATTTTCCTACTGATCTATTGTTAGGGCCTATGCACTGTGAGTTCTACGCCAGGCTACTTGTGTGAAATGGGAGATGAAGGCTAAAACCCAGGGACTTATATTTCAAAAAATTCTCCCACCAGGCGTCAAAATCTCGTTCGCGTGCTCTGAAAGTCCGGGACACCGTGGTGATCTGCACCGGGCAGGCATGGTCCCACTGGGAGCCGAGCGCTAAAGGAAAAGAAGGCGCCAGGCCTGCGGGAGAGGAGCGGCGGCTGCTCAGGAGCCTCTGAGGCAGAGCAGGGAGGGCGGGAGGGCAGGGCCTTGCCGGAGACCCCGAAAGTGCAAGCGTGGCGGCGGGAAGTGAGGCTGCTAACCTAGCAGGTTCCTGTTGTTCAAACAAAGTGGACAAAACGTTTCAGGGGAGACAGAAACTTGAGCCCAGAAAAGACCAGAAAACCTGCCAAACCCTCGATAACAGGTAACAATATTGCCCGTTGCTGTCTTGAAAAGGAGGAAAAGGTGCTGTGCACGGAGAGAGCCTGGCTGAGTGCCGCGGCAACAGCTCTGCGTGAGGCCCGTTTTCCCCTGGGAGCACAGCGCGCCGAGCCGCTCCTCTGAGCATCGGTTCCAGAGGCAACGCCTCGTTCTTGGGGTGCAGGTGGAGGCTTAGGGCATGGGTGACATGCTTGTTGCGGTACAGGCACACGTCTGCGCCGTCGTCCACACCGGCAAAAACGGGCGACTGTTTGCGTTTGGTGGAAGAGGGATCAGAGGTCAGTGGGGCCAACTGACCTGTTGACATGTTCTGCATGTGCCAATGTGGGCGTGGACATTTGGGAACAAAAACACAGAACGAGTATAATCCTGTTTTTTCTGTCCACCATTTCAACTGAGGGCACGTCTAACAGGGGGACCAGAGACCCAGGAGCCCCAGAGGCTGGGCCCAGGCTGGAGACTCACCGCAGAGTCCCCCATGCGCGGAGACAGAGAAGGACAACATCTTCATTTTCATTAACTTCTAACCGAAATTTAGCCTTTCCGTCATGGTAAACGGAGTCCACAAACCACAGCAAACCCGCCACCTGCGGAAGTCCCTGAGGTGCTCCCAGGACGTGACATCCGCGGGTGTCTCACAGCGCCCTCTGCCCTCATCAGCCCCGCTGCTAGGGCCGGTGTCTGGTGCGTCAAAGAAGCGTGTCTGCCACTGTTCCACATGCCAGGAAAGTCTGACGACTATATATTAACGTAATTATAATCCTGTGCGATTGGATTTTATTAAAGAGAAGGGGTCCCTAAGTTCCACGTCCTGCCACAGTATTAAGGTACAGAGAGGGCTGCAGCCGTGCGGGGCAGGCCCCAGGCCAGGCACTCCGTGATTGTGTGAGGTCCTCAGCCCACTAAACCTCTCCCTTCTTCCTCACACGGCTTGACCTGAACTCTGCCGGCCGGGGCGGCTAGAGATAAGGATAGTTCCTGGCAGAGAAGGTGTGAGGCCAGGAGGCCAAACTTACAGGTCAGTCTTAAGACATTTGCTGGTTAACTCCGACGCCCTGCTGCAAAGCGACGATATTGGATACACACCTAGCCTGGCTCGCGGCGTGGCTCGCAGCGTGGCCTGCAGCCCAAAGCACAGACGGGGCTCTGATGAGAGGAACGATCCGGCGGAATGAACGGTTCTGTCACTGCTGGTAGGGAAGCGTGGCCTCCGTCACCCGGCTCACATGCTGAACAGAGCGTAACAGAAGTAAAACTTGGGGCTGCCCAGTTCTGTGCCAACTTCCAACTTCCTCAGCAAACCGTTCGTGGCCCCGTGAGTGCAGGCTGCAGCTAACCTGCGGTCACTGTAGCAAGTTGCCAGAGCCCCTGGGGGACACCGTTCCTGGAGGCAAAGAGAAGAGAGGCCAAGATACGCAGTGGGATCATGGAGCACGTCCTCTCTGACTTGCTCCCCCCACACCTCCTGGCTTCAGAATCATCCCACAGGGCCCCTTTTGGGGACCCCACCCTCTCAGGGCAGCTGAGCTCATTCTTGGAACCAGAAACAACATTCTGCTGCACGACGTCCCAGGTGAACCGCTCCTCAGGTGGTGGTGTGGCCATGTCCCGTCAGCCCAGCTCCCGCTGCGTTCTGGGAGGGACCCGCTCCCTGTTCTCCCAGCCACAGACACAGATGCTGTTTTTGACCAAAGCCTATTTCAGGCTCCCCTGAGCTTTCTTCTCAACTAGGCCCTGACTTTGGGTGTCCGTGTTTGTTTTTGTATTGTCCAGCTTTAGCAAGAATCCTACTAATTCTGTTTAACCAGACTCCCCGCCCCCAGACTCTCAATATCTGATCACCCTGATAACTGACCCGGTTCCTCGTCCTCCACCATCCCCCAGCTGGTGTCTGATCCCCCGGCTTGCCGTCAGCAAGGTTCCCATTAGGCCAGTTCAGCCAGAATCACCCTTTACCCCAGATGTTTCCTCATAGTCATTTTCTGCCTACCGACCCTCACCCTTCTCCTTGCCTACAGATACCACTGGCCCACACTCTATTTGCATTTGAGCCTGTGGGGTGAGGGGGAACGTCCCCTTTTCCCCTAAAAGTTCCCAAAGATCAGCTCACAATTAAGGCAGATTAATAAGAGGAAGAGGTTTATTTACTGGGCACAGAGTGATTACCCAATATCCCAGTGGGATCGGATATTTTTATACACTCATTTTAGAGCAGGGGAGATGAAGAGTATGGGCGGTTCCGTCCTTGGGCAATAACTGGCTGTCAGGGAGGATGGGTGGATGGGGAAGCAGACTGACTTGCAAACTGGGTGCGTTCTCGAATGGGGATCTCCGTTCCGACAATCTAGTGAGAGGACAGCGAGGGGAAGGGAAGTCCACTGTTCTTTTGATGAGTCTGTCTGGTTATGCAGATGCAGGGGAAGCCCCTTCCGAGGCCTGTTGATCTCTAAGGGCCTGTAATTGTATATACTCTTTACACCAGGGAGTCATATATTGGGGTCATCACTCACCTGCCTCTATGCCCCTCAGTTTCCCCTCTGTAAAGTGAGGATAAGGCCCGGCCCAGTCCTTTGGTTTGTGGGAGAGTCCGCGTGAGTCCACCGAGGACGTCTCCGGCTCTGGCATAGACCATCTTCATGTCCATTCTATTCTCTCTCCAAGCTCAGGCAGTGTTTCCTGTAGAGCATTTGCTCCCTGACTAGGCCCTAGACCGTTCCCCAGGTGAGACAAAGACCCCACTCCAGGCTGGCTGGACACCAGCTGCAGAGAAGCTACTGAGGCACAGCCATCCAGGGAAGGCGATAGCTTCTTTCCCCAGACATGCCATGGTCTCGCGCTGAGCCCCAGGCAAGGCGCAGGCTGGGGGCCTCCTCGCCTGCCAGCCCCTCCTCCCCTCACACCCTCATTCTCTGGCTTCTCCCCTTCCCTAGTCCTCAAAGAGGCCATGTGCTCCTTTGACAATGAAAATGCAGAAGCAAAAGCAATTGCAGCAGCAGAGAGGAGGCCAGCAGTGCGGAGCACGAGCACCCACCAGACAGCCGGGAGCGAAGCCTCTCAAGGCAGATGCCCCAGGGGAGGAGCAGGTGGTCAGAGCACCCAGGCCTTAGGCCTGCTCCTCGAGATCCATTTGGCTTTGCTCTTTCTGGAGCTATCCAGGTGCTTTGTCACTTATGTTGCTTTTTAGGCCTAGAGGCTTGTTCTTAGGAGCTCTGCTTCTGCTTGCTGGCCTTGATGTTGCAACAACCATTTCCTGGCCATGAGGATGATCCTGAGCTGAGTAAGAGTGGGAGGCCCAAGTGCGCTGAGTCCACAGTGTTGAGAGAGATCAGTGAACACCCTGCTTCCCAGCCCAGTGGTCTCTGCGCCCAGGCAAGCTGGATTTGCATCCTGATTCTGCTGCGTGACTCTCGTTTAGTGACTCAACCTCTCTGTGCTTCAGTTTCCCCAGTTACAGAATAAGGATAAGATGGGAGTGATGTCCTAGGGTGGCTGCATAACAAAGGGAAGGATCTGAAGAAAAAAAATATTTTCTGTCTATTTAAAACTCCCACCACTGTTTTGGGGAACTGCTGCCTGGCCTGCATCCCTGAGGCAGGTTAAGTTCTTTGTTAAAAGAGAGAACTCAGCCATCACAGGCAGCTGGCTGGTGGGAGGTCACAGGCTTTGTCTTTGGTAGCCATGGGACAATTAGAATAGTTAACCACAGTAGCCTAGAACTGAGAGGCCCTCCCTTTAAAGGCAAAGGGGGAAAAATGGCAGACCTTCTCATCTCAAAATCCAAATTTCCTGAACATAAGCAGAAATACAGAGCTTTTAAAAGGATGGCTTTCTTTCTAGGTGTCAAAGCATCATAATATACAGAAAATTTAAAAATTATATTTTTTGCATACACAGTACCTGCACTGCAGCCACTGTAAAAGCTTCCCGACAAACGGAAGCCTATAGCTCCATAGCTCCAGACTCCGCCATGCCCTGCCCCACGGCCCCCTCCTGCCTGAACGCCCTCGGAGGGCGCCCCACAACCCCGAAAGCTGGTCTCCCCTGGCAAAGCCAGAATGCAAATCTGAGTCTCTCTCCTCCGCTCAGCGTGTGGAAAACCTAACAGGCACATGTCCAGTTCCTGGCAGAACCCGGAGGACCTTGGGTACGGCTCAGAAAAGACCACCTCCTGCACAGTAGGCACACGCAGAGGGACACACACGCTCACGCTCTCACACAGCACACTCGCACTGTCACCCAGAGCTATTTGAGGAGGAAGGACAGAGAGTCTACTTTTTTACCATGGTTAACTATTCTAATCCTCCCATTTCGGCCATAGACAGAGCCTGTGAAGTCTGCCACCCACCTTGGGGGCTGGTGCCACCTGGGAGTTTTAACAAAAGGCTTAACTGTTAGGTCTGGAGCTGAGGGGCACACGAAGCCTCCTGTGTAGCAAAATGCTGTTTATTTGGGGCATCTGGGTGCAGATGGGTGGAGGTGAAAAAGCACCCACCCCGGGAGAGGGGGGAGCCTTGGGTTTTATAGAGGGTTTCTCAGGGAAGTGAGTACCTGGGCCAGAACAGCCAAAGCAGTAAAAATTTTTTTCAAACAACGAATTTCTGGGACCCCTGCATGAGTCTCATCCTGTAGAGGTAAGGGAGGAGGGTAGTTTCAGTTTCGTCCTTACTGTTAGACTTTACAACCTCCGGGAACTCTTGGGACTCCTGGGGCTATCGTTGCACAACCCTCAGTTTTGCATTAACCACAGTCCGTCCAGTACACACTTTTCAAGTTCCGCCTGGAGCAAACCTGGCACTGACCTGCCTCAGGGATGCAGGCCAGGCTGCAGCTCCCAAAGCGTGGGGGGCATTTTCCAGGCCATTCCCTCTGTTCCTGATTCCCCACTCTCGACATTTCCCTTCATGTCTGTGGGAGGAGGGCCGCCACCCTGGCACAACATGCACACATTCACGACGTTGCCCTGGAAAGGTGAAACACAGGGGGCGCTCAGGGAAGTCTGGGCCAACAGACCTTGTGAAATAGGGAAACTTCATGAAATAAGAGGAAACTTCATGAAATAAGAGGAAACTTCATGAAATAATGAGATGTGAAATTTTTACAGAGATGTCAAAAAGAGATGTTAAAAAACCATACAGGAAAGAGAGCGAGGCAGAGTGTGGGAGGAGCAGGCGAGAGGGCGCCAGCAGCCCCAGCTCGCCAGCCACCATTCCCCACCCGCGGCAGCCCTGTCTGCAAGGCAGCCCGGAGAAAGGAACGTCCTTGACTGGAACAATGGTGCTCCTTCCACCAAAGCCCAGGGTTGCCCATTGCACAACCAGGGCCAATCAGGTGCTTTGTCGACAGTCCCCAAAGCCATTAAGTTGGTCTTCGGGTCTGATAGATCCTAGAACAAAAGGTCCTGAAGCGCCTGAGGTCGTTGTAGCCAGGGACATGTTACAGGTGACATGTCCTGGCTGCCGCCCTGCCACTCCTCAGGAGGGTGCCCAGCACATGTATGGAAGAGACTCAGAAGTCTCACGGGACTCTGGAACTTCTGGTCTGCACAGTCACATGACTTCTCTCAACCCGGACCTGCAGCCCTCAAATGCTGACCACCGCGGACAAGAAAGAAAAGTGGAAATCGGACTGGAACGTGCACGCGTGACTTCGAGGTGGTCAGTCCCACAGCAAATGATTTCAGCGGGAGCCACAGACAGCGCCAGCTCAAGTTCCCCAAGGCACTAAGATTTTTAGAATACCTGTTTCACTTGGTGCTTCAGATGCAGCGCTGCATCCCAGATCTCACTCAGCACTGAGGAGCATCTAGCCTTTCTCAGGAAATGCCAGGATTCACTGCCATTATATTAACAGTAACCACAGCCCCAAATATCCTGAGTGGGCCTGATGCTGTTGCATATTTGCACATAGGTGCTGTCCCTCCACCTGTATTAACAGTCTGCAGGGATATTTGGTCTTTATTAAGCACAACTGTACAGCCCCAGCAGCAGCCTTCCTGGTGTCACAGTTAATCTCACACGCTCTCAACAAGTCTGCCTATTTCCACGGTCTGGCCCGCAAACTCCTTGTCCTTCCCATCAGCCCAACAGCCAGATCGGCCAGGCCAGCAGACCTCTGACATCTACCTGCCCATCAGCTCACTGCTAGTCCACAGTTGCCAGCGCCTCATCCACCTGGTAGCTCACGCTCTTCTGTCCATCAGCCAATACAACATTCAGAATAGTTCAATGGAACCTCAAAAGAAAAAAAAAATAAAGATTGAAATCAAACTTGAACTTTTACAAAGAAATAACTCTTTACAGTGTCATTCTTCTGGGCTTTGGACCTCCAGCACTTCCTCTTTTGTCAACAGCCAGAGTTTACCAGAGATCAGCCTGCTGTTTACATAGCTGCCAGTTCCCAAATACTAGTGAGGCAATGTTCCGTACTCAAAGTTTTTACTTCAGCTAAAGCCATTAAGAAGATGAACAGGCCATGCAGAAGCAGGCCACGCTCTTCGTCTATACAAATTCCGGGGTACCTTCTGTCTCCAAAAATATGCCCAGGTAAGTGACTATGGTCTCTTCCTTTATTCATTAGCACCCTCGAAATGCCTTCAATAGGCAATCACTCTGCAACTTCCCCCCAAGAAGTGATTCCCCAACCCAACACAAAATGTCTTTTCAACATTGCAGTTTTTGGCCAGGCACAGTGGCTCATACCTGTAATCCCAGCACTTTGGGAGGCCAAAGGGGAAGGATCACTTGAGGCCAGAAGCTCAAGACCAGCCTGGGCAACATAGTGAGACCCCATCTCTACCAAAAGTAATTTTAAAAAATGATCTAGGTGTGGTGGCGCACACCTGTAGTCCCAGCTACTCAGGAGGCTGAGGCAGGACAGCCACTGGAGCCCAGGAGTCCAGGTTGCAGTGAGCTGTGATTGAACCACTACACTCAAGTGAGTGACAGAGCGAGACCCCATCTCTTAAAAAAAAAAAAAAAAAGTAGGCACAATTGCAGTTTCTGACCTGAAGTTTCACCAGTTAGGTGCTCCCAATCTTTGAACTTTCAAATCATCCAAACTTTCCTGATTGTTGCATAAAGACACAACATATCTGGCAGCTCAGAGGCCCTACTTTCACATACGCGGATGGACTAACAGCAGCACGGGCACTGAGCGTCACTGGTTGCTATGACTGAGTGTGTCTCCCCAAAATTCATACGTTGAGGAACTAATCTCCAACACCCCAGACTGTACTTGGAGATAGGGTCTTTACAGAGGTAATTCAGCTAAAATGAAGTCATTAGTATGGGCCCCAATGCAATATGCCTGGTGTCCCTGTGAGAGAAGGAGACTAGGACACAGACACGTGCGAAGGGAAGGCCGTGCAGAGACACAGGGAGAAGACGGATGTCCACACAAGCCAAGGAGAAGGGCCTCAAGAGAAACTAAACCTGCCAACACCTTGATCGCACACTTCCAGCCTCCTGAATGGTGAGAAAATAAGTTTCCATTGTTTATACCGTCCAGTGTATGGTGCTTTGTTACGGCAGCCCTAGCACACTGATACATTGGTATACCAGAAGACCAGAACAGAACAGCTTCAAAGGAATTTAAGACTGTTTAGAATGCCAAATAAGCTAAAATCTGGAGTCAATAAAATAGAGAATTGCCTAACTCACAGGTGCTGAAAAGATCAAATTCTGTCTCTCAAACATCATTACTCAACAACTTGTCCACAGTGGTAAAGCTGTAAGAGAGAACTCCAGGTGGACGCTGAAGGCCTAATCAATGGGATTGGACTTTTTCAAGTCTGAGAGTCACATTTTAATCCCAATGACGAGTTTGAATTTACAGCTTCTGTATCAGCAAAACCCAAAGATCAAAGACCCACCATCCAAATACCAAAGGCTCAACACCCAGAGTGTGGTGAGCGAGTTCATTGGATTGTCTACTCGTCAACCACCCAGCCTTACTTCCACTGTGAGTCATGTGAGTTGCCAAGGAATTGCAGAGCCAGAAGACCCAATATGTTCTCTAAAGCTACATCCAAAGTTTCGGAAACTAGGAGGGGAAAGTTTTGCAGATACATAGGATTTTGCCAAGTTGAAGAAGCAACGAGACAGTGCTATGCAACTCCTCAGGGCTGCTAATACTTCTGTGCAATATTGTGGGCAGCTGGCAGAGATCTCTTGAGAGGCTTGGCAGATTTTCTACTTGCAAAACTACAGAGCTTTTAGCGAAACTCTATACGTGTAAAGAAAAGGACAAAGTTCAGCTATTTGAAAAGTGAAAGTCTAGATCTTATCTCTGCCTTTCCTGGAAATGCAGCTGCTGTGAAGCCAGCCTCTAAAGTACAAACAGCAAGAAGGGGCTTGTTTTATTTGTACAGTCTGCAGCAAAACGCCCCGGCGCTTTGCGTACTGTGCAGGACTTTGAACTCTACTTTAGGTAACTTCTTTTCTTCTCTATTATTTTCTTATATTTCTATATGTATAGTGTAGTAGCTTTTTTAACCATTTCGTTGAGATGTAATTCATGCACCATACAACTCACACATTTAAAATGTATAATTCCTTAGAAAATAAGGGGATTTCCAGTAAAAAAAAAATTAAAATACACAATTCAAATGGTTTTTATTATATTCACAGAGTTGCGCAAGCATTATCACAATCAATTTGAGAACATTTTTATTGCCCAAAAAAGAAACCACTCACCCCTCAGCCATCACCACCCAGGCCCCCACCTCCATCAACAGCCCCAGGTAAACGCTACTCTACTGTTTCCTCAGACTTGCCTGTTCTGACACCTCATGCAAGGGAATCACAGCACGTTGTCCTACCTGTCTGGCTTCTTTCAGTGAGCACAAGGTTTTCAAGATCCATCCATGTTGTAACATGTATCAGTACTTCATTTCTTTTTATGGCTGAGTAACATTCCACTCTATGGGCATACTTCATTTTATTTATGTGTCGGTTGGCGGACAGTTGGGTTGTTTCTACTTTCTGACAATTATGAATGTTGTTATACTGGTGATTAATGATACTGTGCATCTTTTCATGGGCTTATTGGCCATTTGTATATCTTATTTGAAAATATAATGGTCTTCTGTTAACTAATTTTTTTCTTTTAGTGATTAAAAATGATCTCATTGCTTTTTAAGCCTTATCTGAGAAAAGCAGTGCCTTAAAAGAGCACATCAATTTTTAAATGAAACTGTATTTCAGATAACTCTGCTTTGCTGATTCTTTTCTTTGCACTCAGGAGTTCTATGAAGCATTCTGTGAAGATCTGTAGACCCTAAAGAGTGAAATGCAGAAAACATACGAAGAATTATGTGTTTAGGTCACTTTGTATACTCAGTTCTGTGGTGGGTGAGAAAATGGAGGTTTTCATCTTCTTTGGGGACATTTAAAACAAAACATATTTCTGCTACTGATAGAGTTAAGTGTGCTTCATCTGCCCAGTGTCCTGAAAAACTTTCACAAGAGATTATGAGAAAATATAATTTCAACTGAGAATAGCAAGAATACCTACAGACATTTATGAAGAGACTTAAAAAGCTTTCCTCTTTGGGCAATCAGTTTCTAAGAATGAATTGGCTGCAACAACATCAAGCGTATTTTAGAAAGAATGATAGTTATATTGATTTATGACAGGAGGAAAGCTTTTCCAGAAGAAAAGCTGGAAAAAGAAAACAAGCAAACTTGAATGCTGAAGCAATCTCAAGCAGTTCTTCATTTTGATGATGTATTTTATAAGGAAATAAATAGTCGAGGATCAGGAGTGTATATAATTGGATGAAATTAGGCATAAAAACAATAGAACTATTTAATGGGTATAGAGTTTCAGTTTGAGACAATGAAAAAGTTCCAGAAATGAGTAGTAGTGGTGGTTGCACAACATTGAGAAAAGCCCCTGTGCATGTGGCCCAGGGGCCCAGGGACGGCTGCCCAGGGCCCACCAGCACCAGCACCAGCACCAGCACCTAGGCACGCAGCCCACCCAGAGTCCGAGGACTGAAAATGAAGGATGGAAAACACTATTCCATGCAAAAAGAAACCAAAAGTATGCAGGAGTAACTATACTTATTTCAGATAAAACAGACTTAGTCAAAGAGCATAAAAAGAGATAAAGAAAGTCATTATATAATGATAAAGGAATCAATTCAGCAACAGAACATAACAATTGTAAATATATATGTACCCAACATTGGAGCATTCAGATATACATAGCAGATAGTATTAGAGATAAATAGAGAGACAGACAATATAGTATGGTAGGTAGTATAGATATTACATACAATATGTGAATATGGTATAATATTAATATCAGCTGGGGATTTCAACACCCCACTTTCAGCATTGAACAGATCATCTCAGCAAAAAGTCAGCAAAGAGACATCAAAATTAAACTGCACTCTAGATCAAATGGACCTAACAGACATTTATAAAACATTCCATCCAACAGCTGCAGAATACACATTCTTCTCATCAGTACAGGGAACTTTCTTCAAAATAGACCATATAAGCAAGTCTCAACAAATTTCCAAAATCAAAACCATATCAAGTATCTCTCATACCACAAAGGAATAAAACTAGAAAACAATAGCAAATAACTTTGAAAACTGTACAAATACATGGAAATCAAACAACATGCTTCTGAACATGGAGGGGGTGGTCAATGAAGAAATGATGAAGGAAGTCAAAAAAGTTTTTGAAACAATACAAAATAGAAACACGACATGCCAAAACCTATGGAATACAGAAAATGTGGTACTAAGAAGGAAGTTTATAGCAATAAATCCCTACATCAAAAAAGTAGAAAGATTTCAAGTAAACAGCCTAATGATTCACTTCAAGGAACTAGAAAGAACAAACCAATCCCAAAATTAGTAGAAGGAAAGAAATAACAACTAGTTTTCAGAGCTGAAGTAAACAATATAGAGATTAAAAAAATACAAAAGATCAACAAAATGAAAAGTTGGATTTTTAAAAAGATAAACAAAATCAACAAACCATTAGCTAGACTAACAAAGACAAAATGAGAGAAGCAATAAATAAAATCAGAATCAAACAAGAACACATTCCAACCGATACCACAAAAATACAAGGGTTTATTAGAGACTATAATGAACAACTATATGCCAATAAATTGGAAAACTTACAAGAAGTGGATAAATTCTTAGACACGCACCCCTTACCGAGAGTGAACCATGAAGAAATAGAAAGCTGGAACAGGCTAGTGTGGATGGAAAAATCCACACTCTGAAATCTTTGAAAGAGGTTTATTCTG